CGTTAACCCCGGATATCGTGAATGTTATGATTGGACATACTTCGCATCTTGCCAGCTGCGATACGCTCCATTGCATAGTACCGGACTATTGTTCGTTTCTGTTCTCATTCATTTGCTTAGCACCGCAATTGCGGGGTTAGCAGGAGTTAGCACCACAATTGCGGAGTTAGCCCTGCTATTTTGCAGGGTTAGTTAACCCCGTACTATAGGTGGGGTTAGCCAACTTTAGCCCACTTTGGTAAAAACCAGTCTGAACAGAAAGTGGAATAGGCTTAACCCCCGTACTATAGGTGGGGCTAAGAACCCCCCTTAACCCCACCTATAGTACGGGGTTAAGAAAAATATTGCCAGTGTGAGAACAGTATACTTGAAAAAGTTGAAAATTTGAGTAATCTAACTTACAGTTATGCTTTGACATGCATCACCATGCATCAAATTTGTGTGTATTCCATGTCACCTGACTGGCTGTTCATCAAGTCTATTGACATAGTCTTTCCCTAATTATAGAGGAGATCTACCTGTAGTAAGGAAAAAATATCCCTTGTATAATTATGAATATATAGCTCTATTCTTGGAAAATTTTCTTTAAATTTTGTTTGGTTATGCGGAAAAGGGGAAAGGAGAAGAATGTATGTAATTCTTTTAAGATTACAGGAGTGCTGTCAAATATTTGAACACAGATGTGAATGGAAAAATCAAACAAGTGAATCCAAATTTATGCATATAAATTGAGAAATAGGAGGGAGGTGGTGAGAGAGATATACATTTACATGTACATGTTGCATGGACCCTACAATATAGGCTTGTAAAGCCAGGGCTCTCAAGAAGATTAGTATTAAATACTTAAATCAGGTATGGAATACCGTATTTGCTGGCGATAAGGCCGCACCCCCAACTTTGACATTTCAAAGAGGAAAAAAAAAAGAAGAAGAAAAACAAACAAACGGACAAAACAAAATAATCGTAATTTTATCGTAAAACAATATTTTTTTTTACAAACTGATACCAAATTCATTAATATTCTTATAATTTACCGGAAGTTGAGCTAAAAAAATGATCGCAGGCAGATTTGGTGTTCGACATATACCCCAACCACAATGTACGGTGTACTGCGAAATTGCATGAAATGGATTCAAAATGGCGACTTTGGCTGGATGCTTCGCGGCAGCTGCATTAAAGGGAGATCTGAGATACACAGTCCTACATGTTACCAGTGTCTGTGATATGGTGTAATATTGAAGCCCTAAAAAAATTGCGCTTCAAAATGATCAAGAAGTGCTTCAAAAAAGTAAAAATCTTTGAGTGACCGGTTTTACCATATTCGTTAACCCCAATAGACTGTAGTGTTATGAAAACCATTTTGTTTTCAAAATTTGTAATTCCAATCATTAATATCTTGATAATCAGGAGTTCCTGACTGACCTAAAGGTTTATAATTATCATTGCAGCATGAGCTGAATCAAGGATTATTTCTAAAGGATCAAATCATGAAAGACGAAGTTACTGGATCCCTTTAAACAGTCCCTTCTTTTACTTTTGCAATGCATTGGCACAAACTTAGATCAAGATCTATCGGCGGATGTTGTTTTTGGAAGTTTATTTTCGTCTTCATGTCAACAATGCAAGATAAAATTGTCGGTAAGATGTGTGGAAATGTCCTGTACCATAGTGGTATAGTTATTGTAGTCCCATATGTGCAAATTTGTGCTGTTTTTTCAAGGTTTTGACTTGCGTTTTTTTTTTTACTCTTTCGCAGCAAAGGCCGCAGATCGACTATTTGATATTTTCTCTTCCAATAATACTGCGACCTTTACGCCTGCAAATACGGTATGTGAGCCTTCAAATGTAAAAGCCCACTTGTGAGAGCTTTGATATACATATAACCCACTCACTGTAAGTCATTTCTGAAGGAAGATATGAAATGAACAAATAGTCGGACTAAAGGAAATTTCTACAAAACTGATATAAAGAATGATTGTGAGACAGCTGGCCAATCATCAGTGCACCCTACGATAAACCATGCAAGTATGATACGACGGACGTTCAGACATTAGCGGGATGCTGATTTGTTATCAAGTTTTTGTTCGAAACAATGCTCAAACCTTGTACTATGTTTCTTTTTATGAAATTTAGACTAGGGTCAAATTTATTACTTGCATATCTGATTCCTGTATAGCTATACAATGAATTATGTTAGTCTGAAGGTATAGTTAATAATTTCTATGTTTGAAAATATGGATGATTGTATCAAGAGAGTACTAGAAATGAAGTTTGTTGTGTGGAGTATATTTGGTAACCTGGCTTATAAATGCCTCTGATCCTACTGCACAGGAAATTAGAAAGTTTATGAAATTAAAGGTGGAGTCCGTAATGGGTGAGATTAGGCCAGAGCGGGATTAAGAGAGGGGTAACTCTTATTCTCTGCACCCATAATACTGTATTATACATGTAGGCAGGGATGGGAAGTCCTTGTCTTGAAGAAAGGAAAGGGGTCATTAAAAAGCTTTTATAGTGACCAAGTGGGGAAGGGTCCCCCGTCTGTATGGGTACACTCCCCTCATTTTTCTAAATTTATGGAGGCTATTTTCTCATTATTTGTTATATATTTTTGGTCCATTTTCAGAATATCTGGGGAAAACGTTCAAATTGCAAACATAATTTTTCAATGTACTATCAGTAAAAGAAAGCCATACTTGGTGTATATGTTAAGCCATGCTTTTTTTTTTGGGGGGGGGGGGGTCCAATTGGACTTTATCAAGTCACATTTTAATTCCAATGAGTTGGAAAAGAAGAAGTTAAATTGTCTTTGAATACTCACAGAGGAATGACAATAATCTTTAATACACATGTTGTTGTTTTAATTGTTGCTTATGAAATCCCATGTACTGTATGCCCATCGTAATTTTCATCTGATTTCTACATGATTTAATTTGATAAAGAATAGATATCAGTAATAACAAGCTGCCAATATCTTTTTCCCCCTTTAAAAGTGGAATAAGAAAGAAATCATAGATGGAACAGCAATTAGAACCATGGTTGTCATTTGAAATATTGTGTTATGACTCAAATTTCAGTTAAAATCTTTGGGGGACTTAGAAAGATGAACAAATATATATATTTCCTCACATTTGTGACTGTGTTCTTTGTCATACATTGTATGCATGTTAGGCTGCGTTCATGCTTAAATTTTGAAGGCAGAATGAGCGATCTGAAACGCTCATCGTAAACGCTCATCGTGATCGCAGTTCCACGATGTAGTGTTCATGCTTACTTTTCTGGCTCCCCCAGGCAATTCTCAGTGTGTGGCCTTAATTGGTCTTCCAGCTGGATTCGCAAACCTTCACTGTGCATGCTACGTAGACCCACTAGAGGTCAGTGCGTTGACCCCATTTAAACGCGTTTACAAATTGTAAACGCATCTTTTTGTGAGTTTACGATCGGCGATCGTGATCGCCGTTTTTCGGTGATTCTACAAAAGTGAGCTAAGACGCAACCGTGTTTTAAACTAAACGCGTAACAGATGCCTGATTCTGGCCGTCAAAATCAAGCATGAACGCGCCCTAAGTCTCATTAACTTCCTGACTACGTACATGTATGCAGTCATAACAAGCTCAATATTGATTTGATTTTGAAAAAGAAGTGACATCTGCTTCATGACTAGCTGTCTGTTATTTAAAAAGTGGCAGATTGTTATGACCATATTAAAGTACATATAGGTCACAAAATAAGATGCAAGAGGAAGTTCTAAGAGGTTTGTGCTAAGAATAGATGTTTAAAAAGGATTGAGCGGATCCTGCAAATTTGCCATAATTCATTAGTGATGGTGGTGTTGTGATAAATTGCTCCTTTTCTTTTAGAGGCACTACACCCAATACTTAATCTCGCATCTAGCTATATGTAGCTACATTCAAAGAGTAATGAACAAACTAAGGCTGGTACTGACAGGCGGATACTCGAGTACTTGGCGGCCATTTTTTTATTTTTATTTTTTAGGGAAAGATCCCTATTTTTTTAGACACGGCAGGGAAGAAGAAAAAATTTCCATGAAAAGTTGGTTTCTTATTCTATTAAGAAAATACTTGATACTTTTCTGTCTTTCTCAGCGAGTGTCAGATGGCCGCCATACTACACAGCACTCATAACTCCTTGCTACAATAAATCATATTTACGCCAACAGTCGCCAAGAGATGGCGCTGCTCGTATATACATTCATATATATATTTTTTTTTTGCCAACGTCGTAGGCAGCACCCCAGGTCTGTCTTCGAAAAACCCATGCGATTTTACTGCGAGTTGCAGTTGAAGGCGCCGATTTGTGCTTGTGAACTTATCACAAATAATAGTAACAATGTTTTTTTTTTAAACTAAAGATGGCAAAGTTTCCTCAACCGAACAGAAAAAAACTGGGCACTTTCAATATTTTTAGCTGATGTCTATCTCTTGAAATGCTAGTGAATATTTTGGAAAAATGCTTCAGGAAGGTCACAATACACAATAGGCCTGTCTTCACTATCTCGAGATTGCCAAATATCCCGCTATTGAACTATCCCGATCGCAAACTATCCAAAAAATGTCCAAAAAATGTCCCACTATTTGGCAAAATATCCAGCTATTTGTCCGGTGCATCTTCAAGAGACTAAAGACTCGCACTATGCGCGAACGCTGAGCAAAATATCTTGAGCTAATTTCTCAAGGTCGAGTATCACGTTTCGAGGTCGAATCTCGAGCTGATGAAGACGCGAATTGAAACTTCGGGATTATTTCCCAAATCAGAAATAGCGGGCTATTTGGCAATCTCAAGATCATGAAGACGTGCCTAATATGGTTTGACAGACATTTCATGCATATTATTATTTTGATCACTGATGACTTTGTTTATTTATTACTGTCCCCGATGTCACATTTCAGTTCAAGATTTTAATTAGTCAATATTTCCCATCAAATGAAACATTTATTTTTACACTGAATTGATTTATTTTTCCATCTCATCCCTTTCCATAGGTCTAGATGATGTAGAGAAGAAGCGGTTACAGCAAGCTTACGTTATTGCAGTTGAGCAGCAGACACGAGATAAGATTGCCCAGATTGCTGCTCACAACAATGTACAGACTGTAGATCTGACCTCTCTCAACAACTCCAATCATCCAGTGGGCATCACAAATGGACATACTCATGTAGAACTCCATGGACATAGCAATGGCTATCCTGAACCTGAGAACAGTGCCTCTGAACCTCAGGAACCTCCCTTGACAGCAACCTCTGCCACAGTGCCCCAGGATGGGTACAGCAATGAGCGGTTAAGCCAGCTGTTCGGCGAAGACTTTCAGGTAGTCAGTGAACCAGATGGTTACGACAACCCAGCCTTCAGCTTAGAATTCCCATCCACAGGATCGGACATAAGTGCCTCTGAGACAGAAACTGTACATCGTGCAGGATCTCTTCCCGTACAGGAACCTGCAGTCCAACCGAAAGTGCTCAAAGGCGAGGAAGTGCCTCCTGTGGACCTGGCTCAACTTGATGCCCAATCTAATGCACAAAGTGCCTCATTGCCTACAAGTAGTACTCAACAAAAGAACACAATGCCAGAACCAAGTGCTGCTGTGCGTTTGGAAGCACACCCCAGGGAGATGGGGGTGGATTGTCCAGCAGATTTTGTTGCAGCAAGTGGCATGAAAGATCCACCTGCTCAATCAGCAGGTAGTGCTAAAGTTAATGGACATACTTTGACCAATGGCACAGACTTAATACCCAACTCAAAACAGAACAATAACATGAGTTATGAAAACTGGAATTCAACAGGAACACACACCCATCCTGGTGTAACAATACAGCAGGTAAGAAAATTTGAAATTCCTCTTTGTTACATGTTTACTTGATGTTTTGTTATACAGTGCGACCCAGAAAAAACGACAACGAGAATTATCAATGTTTTATCATAATTTAGTCACATTTATAATTAGTAAATGACACATATTTGGAAAGCTTAGATCTTCCTCTTTCATTTGATGCAACTCATATGATGGATATTTCACGCATGAGTGCTTAAAATGAATTTGAAGAGAGGAAACCAAAAAAGTCATTTGGCGGACGGTATCTGAATTTCAAAGAGAAAATCACATTTCCAGAAAGTTGAGTTCCTGCCCTTTCAGATGACACCTCAATCAAGAAAAATGAGCAGGGAATGACAAAGTTCTGTTTGTTTAAAGTAGTGCTTGCATATCCATAATTTTATCAAATGAATTCGTTTTCACTGGCTGCCTGCCGTAGCAACAAGCAGAATTGACAAAAGACTTATCTCCATTTCGTTTAACAATCAGCCATGCATGAAGTCTTTCGTCTACGGCTCCTTTTAATTCCATAACAGCTGCCAAACTAGATAAACCTTTTCAATCTAATACAAGGCAGGCAGCTTTTATTGAAGGAAATGATAGGTCACTAAACTGCAATACGTGTTTCCGTTGATGAAGATCTGTTGAAGCTGAATAAGAAGCATGTTAAACAGTTTACATCCTCATTCAAGCTGTTCTCTTAAACTGGTTGAGGTAAACAGGGTAATAAGGTTTGATGGCCTAGATGACTGAGCCCCTAGTCAGTGTGATGGTACACACACCATTATCAGTCATCAAGTACGACACAGATCCACACTAGGCCCTGCTGTGCTGTAAGGAAGCAATAATAGTCTGAAGACTATTTCATTCAAATCATCAGATATCATCAGTTTATATATATTTCTGCCAATATGGCTTTATTCTCACAAGATTACCATCCAAGTTATTAATTTAACCTTTAAATATATAACGGTAAATGAAATAAATAAATTACCATAATAAGATCGATTCATATGGCACAGCCACTATACTCTACTGTGTTCTTGAATTATTTTTAAAAACATTTTGAAGACTGTTTCTTTTATGAAGTGCTAGATATGGGCCAAAGCTAAAATGTATGTACATGTATATACAAAAATAACCAGAGAGGTTTACAAATATAGGCATGTACAATATCATTGCCTTACAAAACTGTTTATATATTTTTTAAATATAGTTTATTCATACTATTTGAATACATTTTTACAATTTTTAAACAAAATTAATGTTATAAATGATGCACCCCGGAGCCTTGTCTGCCTGCCTAAAAGCTTTTATATGTACGGCAGCCATCTTAGAAAAATATGAAATTCTTGGTACCTAGAACACCCTCCTCATTTTTGGAATAATCCAGATAAGAAACTAGGAATTTGATTTGGCCTTACATTGAATTCAACTTCAGATATGATATATGGTACATGGATAACCCTTTGACAGATGCTTTTCCCATGTAAACAGTCTGATATAATCATCAACCTTCCTCTCCTCATTGACTCTACTTTAACCGCTGTTAAGGGGGGAAGTATGAAATTGGAGTTAACGCCTCCTAGTGACAGACATCATAACCAGGTAATGTGAGCAGCTCATCTGGATGAGGATAACCTACTTTACTACACTCTATTTAAGAACCTTATTGCTGCACTTTGCTAAGCTGGATGAAAAGGTCAATGTCAATGGTACAAGAAAGAGCCACTTCCATGTCTAATGTGCATTCTGATCTCTTAGGAGACTATTTTTGCTATCTTGGAAGGAAAGCCTTACTTATCCAAAATGTAGTCTTAGTATCACAGTAAGGATTCTTCCCAATATGGTTTGTGTTCTGATGTACATTAATAACCAAGGACATGGTTTAATTTCACATGAAGCAGTCCCAGATATTCATAGTAAAGTATATTTTAATGCTATGTTTGTTTGTTTTAAACATGGCCTCCACAGAAGGGATTCATGTGCCTCACCAGGCTACTCACTAGTACTACACATCTCATTTGCATGATTGACTCCACTTGTGGATGAAAATAATCACATTTGTTACTCGTTAGTGATCTTCTTATCATCTCGAAGTTTTGTGAAAAGTACTAGGAACCCCAACATAATCTCTCACATGCATGCCACATGTAGTATACTGGCTCAGACCCTATTCCACAGTTAAGCCTGACTATGTCAGTTTTTCACTGTACCAAAAGGCAAGAACAGGTGAAGTCTACATTCCTACCGTTTAACACTGTATTACGTGTTACAGCTAACAAGGGTCTGTGCGTAGAGACTACAATCATGCAGTATGTTGCTCTCAAATCTGTCTCTGGTAGGTTTACCGTATGCTTTCATCGAATCCAAACTTATCACTGGGTACCCTAAAATGTGTCTCGGACCACATCAAAATATGGGCCGGGACTGGTTTGCTCTTTAGCAATCCTGGGTGTCTTTAATATGGTTACATCCCAAGGTTTGTGTTTTGATGTAGCAAGGGTCTACTCTTTGATGTAGCAAGGGTCTACTCTTTGATGTAGCAAGGGTCTACTCTTTGATGTAGCAAGGGTCTACTCTTTGATGTAGCAAGGGTCTACTCTTTGATGTAGCAAGGGTCTACTCTTTGATGTAGCAAGGGTCTACTCTTTGATGTAGCAAGGGTCTACTCTTTGATGTAGCAAGGGTCTACTCTTTGATGTAGCTCATTGTAATTTGTGCTTTATAAATACATGCATTTGTAACTCACATATCATTGTATGGATACTCAATTCGCTTTTAAAATCTCTTCTTTCTTTTCCTTTGAATATACAGAATGCAAGTCAAAATAACAGCCAGGGCAGCATATCATTTGAGCCTGTCAGTAACCATCCACTCTTTGAAGATGCTGGCACTTCCAGACAGTACTCCACCCCAGAACAACCTCCTCCAAGGAAAATCTTAGGTGAGTATATTATACAAATAATACACATCAGTGAGGGCATTAGTAAGAATTACCCACACAAGGTACCTTTGGAACAGTGTAACATGCCTGAGGCGATAGCCGAGGGTGTTTGGACTGTTTCAAAGGTACCAAATATTACAAATGAAGACTAATCTCTTTTAAAGGTAGTGTTTCCCTTTTGCAGCCAACATCAAATTCTGTAGAATTTTGCAGGGATTATGAATATATCATGTACATGTATGTTCTCTCTGTGAAATTTAAACAGTAGCAGTGTCCTAATATTCAAATTATGCAAAGAAACCTGTTTACTTTCTATACTTCACTGACTGACATTTTTTTTTCTTTGGTAATGACATACATAAAATGAGCTGTAACAGGTTCATGAGCATTTGTCTACATGAATAACCCACTACTTGTAATATGGCCAAAATTAAACTGATTGAATCTTTGTGCAGCACAAAATGTACAACCATTTCGTACAAGGGTCTGAAAATCAGAATATTGAATAAAACGACTGCAATCCCAAAAATTGATTCGTCAACTAACAGCTGCTATTTTTTCACTAAAAAACTTTTTGAAGCCCTTTCGTTTTGAGGAAGTTCTAAATTAGTATTATCTTTTAAATGCCATTGGAATTTAACCATGGCTCAGGTGATGCCAAATTAATAATAATTATGTAAAAGAAGAAACAGTGTGACGTTTGTCAATCAATGTTTTACTTGTATTCTCATGTACCTTGTAATGCAGCATGGTTGTGTAAATGATTGTCTAAATGGATTTTAGTTTAAAATAAGTACTGTTGTTGTATTTAGGGTTTTATCATTATCAATGATTTCCTCATTGTGGTTTTTAGATATCAGTTTTGCTAAAGCTGGTGTAATATTAACAGGTTGTCTGGGAAAAGGGGCAGGGGTGGACTCAGAAATAAAGTCATCTGTCATCACTCGTATCCCATGAATGTCATATTACTATCAGCACTTGTTTATTCTCTTTTGTCATCATCCATAAACATTCCTTCCAAACATAATCATGTTAATCCTCTATGTGTCAGATCTGGGATTAGCCCTTAATCCATCTTTCCTGTTTCTCAGCTTGTTTTCTCAAATCCGACACTCGTTCTGGAAAAAAAGTTCATTTCATCTTCCATACTAAATTTTGTTTTTCAAATGCCAAATCTTGACAGCTGGTGAATATAAGTCTTTTCTTACATTTTTTTTTTTCATTGTCAAGAAAGAGTTAATTCTATATATACATGTATATTAGCTGAGGGTAATACATACTCTGTCATCATAATGACACTTAACCTCTTTTCAGGAGGATGTATCAATTTGTGATAATAGTGTATGATAGTTTCCTTTACATGTACTGTATGATCAAATTTAGGTTTTCAAAATATAGAGATTGAAGACTGTTGTTCCCCATAGCTCAACCATGAAGTAGAGTCATTTTGTTTTTGTATGTTGTTATTGTGGAGTGGTGACTGGTCAAAAAATATGGTGTTAGTTTTACCCATTTTAGTATCCTTTAGTCATTTATTTTTCAATGTTACAAAAAAGTAAGATTATGTTTTTTTTTCTTCTTCATATTGACCCCCCCCCCCCCCCTCCCCTCTTTGAATCCTACCCAATTGCTTATTTTATCCTCATAAGTTTTTCACTCTATAATACTCAGTGTTTTACTTTCTACTTCTTTTCTGTTACAGTTTTTTTCTTGCATGACATGAAAATAAGAGAAACAAATTTGATGACTTATTGCACATATACTCAGAATGCATTACTTGAGGATGGTACATTGTGATACAATTATTGATGAATTATTGTATTAGAAAATATTATATTTATTATTAATATTATTTTGATGGCTTGAAACTTGTCGTTTTTAGACAACCATATCTTTTTGCTCAAATTTAAATCATAGCCTCGCCTGAAACCTACATCTACATGTTCATAGTTGTGTAAGCAAAAGGAGATTACAATGAAATAGCAGCTGGCTTTATTGACCAATCATATGGAGGTCATTTGGCATGAGGCAAATTTAAAAACTTACAAAAGCCTTCAATTTATGAGTAGGTTGATATTTCACCATTAAAGAGATGGTTGAGTTCTGGGAAGAGGTGAAAAATAATTTGTGAGCGTTATCATTCTTATTATGCAAGTGTGGAAGAACATCAGATAAGACATGTTCCCTGAAAAGCATGGCTCTTCAAATGCCTTTATATTCTAAATATGTCATGTAACTCGTAAAACTCGGGGGTAGGTTGTTTACGCCACGTGTTCGTGTAGTCCCATATACATCTTTCTGTGTACAGTGTTTTTAACTTTACTAAGACTTGGCCAAATTTCTTATCATTTTGATGATTCCAGAACCTTGCAATACACACAAATTCTTATATGCTAGATGATCAACCTTTTCTGGTCGATTTCACACCGTTTCTTTCACAATGCAATCGCATGACCAGAACTCAACTTCATCTTTAAAGGTCTGAGGGAATCAAGATTTGCTTTCAAAATGTCTTTACATCGCTCTTGATTTGTGTTTATCAAAAAATGATATAACATACATGTAGATGATATGCATGTCCCAGTTGAACATTTTATTTACCATAATGATAGTCACATTTTTATATTGCTTATTACTACATTTCTAAGCAGGTTACATTGTAATCATTACCATCCTGGTCGGTGGATTCAGTTTGTAATGCACAGGCTCCACTCCCTGGGGAGTATTTCGGCCAGCCAATATTTATATATCTCTTGATGTAGGTATACGTTGTAATACACCAGTTTACGGTTGTGTGCGCCATTTTAAACAAAGCCAATGACCTAGAGTTCATGTATTTATGCGTAAATTAAGATTGCGCCCATGCAAATTATGATGATATCACTGCCTACGCGCTGCATTGTGCGTGCACATCATCATTTGCATGGGCGCAATCTCAATTTACGCATAAATACCACTGGTCAAAGGTTATTGGCCCTGTTTCAGGGCCAATGACCCGAGGTCAACTGTCTGCGCATGCGCACTGATACAACCGTAAACTGGTGTATTGTTTTGTATATATAACTATCTACCTGCATCATTGTTCTTTGTTCAGACCTCCAAGACCTATTAACAACACTCAGCCTGGCACAGAATAAGCTTGGTAGTCCTCAGGATAGGGAGGATTTAAACTTCATGCAACAGTTCTTCCACAACTCAGATGTACAGCATGCAGTCGGCATCCAACATACAGTGGGGCAATTACAATTATCAAAGTCACCCCCTCTGCCGGTGGCAGCCAACAGTGAGACACTAGCAGTAGAGGTAATTAGACCATTGCAGGAAGTTATTTATTTACACGTATTGATGATGAGAAAAGTATCATTCATTACAAGGTAAGTAATTTTCTTGGTTTCCAGAAAGAAAACAATTTTTTTTTGTGCGTACAAATGTACAGTTAATCATAATGAAGTGCAAATACTTACGTAAAGCACTCATCTAGTGGTATTAGATACATACTGATATTTGGTGTCCATTTTTTAAAATATAGAACTTGATTTGGGCTGTCTCTCAGCTGAGATGGATGGATCCCCCTAATGAGTAATACTTTTCATGTGATGTGCTTCTATGTTTTTTTTTCATTTAGGAATAAAATTTTACTCAATCTCCACTTTTATCTCTTACTATAGAATACTATAATACATACCTGATGTGAGCATCAGTTTTTGCTGTCACTTTTCCTAATTACCCCTTGTAGTAGTGCATGTCATATGCGTAGCAGTCTTTAATCATTATATAGTCTAGGATAATGTACTTGTGTTATTGTCAATGGTTTGTCGTAGAGTAATGTAATGAGAGATATACCATCCTCCTGATGAGCTTGAGGGCTACATCACCTGACTACATCACCTGACTACATCACCTGACTGCAGCTCAATACATCTGAGATGTTACATTCTACAATGCTTCAGTGGAACAAAACATTTTGTTGTTGTTGTTCTCAAGTTTCCAGAATCACCTGATAGATTTTCATCTTTAGAGTAATTTGCATATGAAAGAAAGAATCTATTAATGTACTCGCCTATTTGTCTACATGTATCTGTCTCTTTACTAATGAAACATGAATCCATAAGAGGGGATTTGAGAAGAATAATAATAATAATAATGGTGGCTTCTTATATAGCGCACATGTCCGTGACGCTCCTGGCGCTGCCCCCAATTATTACCCTGGCTTTAGCAAGGCGGCCACTGCGGCGCTCTTACATTTAAAGGAATTAATTCCTGCCAGGTACCCATTTACATCACCTGGGTTGAGTGTGGCAAATGTAGATCATCTACCTGATGAAGGAAGTTTCTCATTGGAATCAGGTCATAGCCTAGCTGTAATGACTTGTCTTTCATCATTGCTGCTTTGAGTTAGAGATATTATCATGTTTGTGTGTCATATATTAAATGCTGATAGGTTCAGAAGTATCCTTAATTAATACATTCCTGCTAGTAGTGACTCTAGGGTGACTTGCATATACTGTACATGTAGTCCACCAAGTAAACATGCCATGGGTAGACGCTGAAAGAGCTGCAGCAGAGATCTATGTCAAACTGTTGACTTTTCAGTTTTTGGACTAGAGTTAAGTATCTTTGTCTTGGTCACACAATATACCCAGGTAAACTTATCAGATCAATGGTGACATACATGCAGAGATATGCATGAATGCAAGCTGATCTAAGTAAAAGGCAATAGATCTGTTAGTACTCTGAAAGATGCACTCGTGCGTCAGTCGAATAGTTATGTGAATAATTGAAATTTATCTTATAAATTCCAAATGGGATTAGTCGAGTGTAGTTAGGTAGAAAAGCCTACAAGCACTTCATGAGAACTGTACCTTACTGCTCAGGCACACTGCTGCTAAAGCTTAAAGACCCCATTTACAAGATTAAAGTCAATTAAACTTAGGCACCCCTTCAAAAGACAGAACAAACCTAACAAACTATTAAACACCCCCCCCCCTCTAGAAATAATGATAATTAATAGATAAATGGATTAAATCTAAAAATTAAATTACCAGGAAAAATTAGGTTAACCTTTGAAACATGATTCATTTTTGTGTAAATTTCACCACAAACCAGAAAACTAAAACATTCATGTACTTGCAAGTTTTCTAAAGATCTATTGAAATTAAATTTTGCATTTTCATAATGCATCAAAAATCAAAACATACATGTAGACTCGGTACCAAAATCTGATGCATATCTTGATCTTTTTTTTTCTTCTCTCTTTCTCTTATTTTTCATTAAGTTACATATAATATATGATTCGATTTGTGTCATTCCATTTCATGTACTATTAATATTATATGTCAATAATATTACAAAAGAAATTTCATGATTGGGCAAAGACCTGTGACCTGTTATGTAGAAAACATGTGTGATTTCAGTTTGTACATGTATATCTCCCATTTTAAACTGGTCATCTCTGCTGCAATCTGCTTATCAAGGTTCTCCAGTAGGAATGGCTGAGTGTGCTTGTTACAGGTCTTTCTTAAGAGCATTCTTATTCATCAGGTTAGAATAGGTTGATAATGATGTTGAGGGGTTGAGAATTGTGAGTGAGGAGATAGCAGGAGGTCTACATTCCTTGCGTGTCTCATAGGTCTCCAGGTTTCATGTCATACTATACTACACAGCATGCCTTACCTGGCTGGCATTGATAGGGCAGAGTCAAAACATTTAACCAAAGGTCAAAATAAAAACTACCGGTAGTTACGATTTTGTGAAATGTGTAACCGGAAATTGAAGGAGAAAAAAGAGATACTAATATGTGCGTCGTCCACAAGGACTTTGGTATGTGCACAGAGTACCTACATTGGGAGAAGTGAAGCCTTGAGGGCATTTAGAATCAATTAGGACCTTTGATCCACAAAGTGAACATGAATCTTACATGGGGGATTATTCCATTCAAAGTCTCTTTTGTACTTTGCAGAGATCGAGAAAGAAGTCATGTTGCATCGCTTCGAGCTTAAACATGGAATTCATAATTTCATATCTTCAAATGTTGTTTGCAATAGATTCTCATCCTCGTACACAACAACACACGTCCTCCCGAAGAAAAAAAGTGACAACATAAAGATACATTTAGCATGATACAGGTTTCTGTAATGCAACTTTTATAAAAAAGCTCCAAACTGTTTTTTTCTCTATGGTACCTTCCACGATGCAAATTCATTTACCCCCCCCCCCCCCACAACGAAAAATCGCCCAATAATTGTAAATGGTCAAACAGTCACACACAAAAAAAATTCTTTGTAAATTTTGAACATTGTTAGCTATTTAGCTTCCAAACAATATGAATTTCAGGAAATATTGAATGCATATACCTTTGACTTGTCGTGATATTTTCTGTAAATCAATCTCAAATTTAAAATCTAACTTTGCCTGCATTATTATACACTTGATTTGATCATCAGACAGTTTCTCCACATTTCATCCATTCCTTTCTTTTAACATCTCCTTTACTTCTATCAATAGATTTCATACAGTTCAAGGGGATCTAAGGGAGAGGCTGATGAGCTGAGGAGACTGCTTTCAAATCCTCTTCTTAGGGTAAGAAAACCACTCTCCAAAACCATTGTAATCAGTTGTATGAAGGGAAGTAGGTCAAAGGTCATTGAGCTGTAGAGTTGATTTTTTATGAAATGTTTCAGCCTTGTTTGTGTGTCTAAGTATATATATAAAGACACACACACAAATATAAACATGGAAGTATTGATGACATTAAGCCGATACTTGTGTATATTACCGGATTGAGATGAACTTAGATTTTTGAGGTATTGGGTCATCAGTCAAAGGTTACAGAGGGTCAATTTACATTAATCTATGAGGTTTGAGCAACTGTATTGCAATATCCCAAGAACCATATGACCAGTAAACTTCAAAATTGGGGCTTGTGGCATGGAATGTTAGGTTTTTTTATGTGGTTTGCATACGTATTATTTGTATAATGAACTCCAAATTCATTGCTACTCTGTATCACTGTCAAAAAATAGACTGTCAAGATTTTGGGGGTAAGTAGTATGAGTCAAATGTTGCAAAGGTGCCTTGATTATGAATGTCATACTTCATAATATCACAACAAAATCTGTCAACTTAATACGCAAATCAACTATTCTACATCAAGTCATCAACATAGGAGTTATGCAAGTATGTGATGAAAAGGAGTGATAGGAAAATTGATACACATGTAGTAGAGAATGGTATGTATGAGGCTACAATTCGTTTTTTGATCAAAATACCATTTAAAGTTTTACGTGTTTTTCATATTTTTCATGGTGTTTTTGTTTGTTGTAGGGGTTGTTGCGAGCACATGATAATGTAGCTAGTCCTGACCCTGCTGAGCTACCTACTGATGTATACCAGGATATTGATCTACCCGAGGATGGTGAAGAATCAGTTAAGATTGTCAGAATTGAAAAGACAGGAGAACCATTGGTGAGTCAATTCTAGATGTTCTTTAGTTCTCTCGTCTTAATAAGCGATAAAAGACTATTTATTCATCAACATGCATTTCATTGACAGGAATAGTAAACATGTTGATATTATTATACAAGACAAACTAGTTCGTCATCAGACTAGGGATTAGTTGAATTGTCAAATCCCCAAGTCCACGGCTGTATCGAAGAAGGGTGTGGCGAGACAAAGATAACAGATAATTAGCATTTTTAATCTGGGACTGGCACTTTTCAGCTAAAAGATGTCTTCAAATTTTTTGTGGAGGGATGAGAGTCTTTACTTTCCCCCTTCTTTAATGACAAATGAGGGGAGAAAGGAGAAAAAGAAATTGGATTTATTGATACATTGGATTAACTGTCATCCAGGTCATGTGAATGTGTCGCCAAAGTTGTTCAGCAATTTGCAACATTCACTTGAAAGATTAGAAATCCAGCTACCAAAATGTTGTTTGCAGCTCAAAATTTATCTTCAAAATATCTTTTTCTTCATTACTTGTTGTCTATTTTTTCTTTTCTTCGGGAGAAAAATATTAATCAAAAAGAGAAATACAGAATTTGACATCATTTCAGAAACATATATTTCTCAGTTAAACTTTTGATTAACATGATGTGTATAGGTATTCCACATCACCATTGAGATCGTAGTCACTCATAAACCTTCATAAAGTGAATAGATAATGATTGCTGAAATGAAGTAGAATCCCAATAATAATTGGAGAGGGGGAATCAATATCTCATCTCTATAAATCAACCAATATTGTGGGTCTAAAAAGTCTTCTTGCTCCTCCAATGATTTCTATTGCAGTGATTTCATTTGTAAACCGGTTTTGTTATCTGTTATTAGTAGTGTTATTATTGTTATTACTATTATTCTTATTATTATTATTCATTTTTATTTGTCTCTTTCGATACATGTAAAAAAAAAAAGAACAAATAAATGAGAAAACAAAATATGGCAATAATATCATAGAAATCAACATTTAATTTCCATGTATTATTAATTGTAGTAAATGCTGCTGTCAACCATTTATTTTTATCAAATACTTTAAACAAACCCTTTTTAATTTTTGTTTTGTAGGGTGCTACAATCCTGAATGAGAATGAGTCTATTATTATTGGTCGTATCATCAGGGGTGGCATGGCAGAGAAGAGCGGTCTACTACATGAAGGAGATGAGATCTTACAGATCAATGGTGATATTGTCACCGGCAAATCAGTCAATGAACTATCCGATCTCTTGGTATGGCATTCACATTTCTATGAAAGTTCTACAAAGTTAACAAATTTTTGTGGCAAGCTACTTGATTATTAACAAATAAGTTTCAATGTAAGTGTGCAATTGGGCAATACAAAACGAAATGATTTTAGCATGAATATTAATGGAAATACAAGTTCTTTTTAAATATGAACAGACAAATAAATCATGCAATTCATTTGATGGAAAATTTAATAGAGGTGTTGACAATTCTTTTAGTGAATTTTTTTATTTCAATTAATAAACATAGATATGATGAAAGATTCTGATGATAAAGTGAGATGATACATGCCCATTGACCTTTTGTTTTGTGTGTGTGTGTGTGTGGGGGGGGGGGGGTGTTAACAACGATATATCTGAATGGGGCTGTATCATTTCTTTTAATCTTTCAATTAATATTGTTTCTATCAAAGTGGTATATCATTCCAACCTTTCTGTTGTAGAGATGAGAGTAAAAGATGACAATGAAGTATAATATTAAGAAGATTGTTCCTTGTCATCCCCAACAGGCGAGTCAAACAGGTACGATGACATTCCTTATAGTACCCTCAACGACAACTATCCAACAACCACCAACAGCTAATACTGTACTGGTAAGAAATAATACACTTACTTAAAGCAATAATGTCACGTTAATTGGAAGAATAGATACCAAGAAGTTCATTTGATATTTGTTTGTTACAACCTGTTTACACCTATATGTATCTCTCAAAGGATTTAGACTTTCTATAGGATTCAAGGAAATTTTAGGCGAAGTAATTTATTTTCAATGGATCATGTTGAAAATACTAGTGCCTTTTACAAAGTCATTACAGATCACTGCTCATGTTTTACATTTGTTGATATGTTTTCTTTTAAACTTAATTGCAAATAATACAATTATTCTCTTAGTATTCTTAAAGTCATTTTTGTCAATGATCTTAATTTCAGTTTAATTCTTAAGCTAATATGTTCAAATAACAAACATATTGAAAAAATGGTAGTTGTTAAAATCTACAACCTGTTTTTTAAAAGACATGTGTCACGCATTGGTTGTTACCCATGATCATCATCTTATTGTCAGTCACATTTATTTTGGCTCATATTCCACACAGTTTCTCTGTAGTTGCCATGGTAATCATTTTGTTTTGATGATCTCTGATTCTCACCAACTCTTTAGTTTCATTTCTGTTCTGTATTCCTATCAATTCAACCCTATTCAGTACCAATATTGTGATCCTTACACTCCGCTCAATAATAGTTTCATTGTTCTTTATTCCTATCTATTTAACCCTATTCAGTACCAATATTGTGATCCTTACACTGAGCTTAATAATAGTTTAATTGTTGTTTATTTCTAGATGCATTTCCGGGCCAACTTTGACTATGATCCTGAGGATGATATGTACATTCCATGTCGTGAGTTAGGTTTATCATTCATGAAAGGTGATATCTTACACATTATAAACAAGGATGATGCTAACTGGTGGCAGGCCTACAGAGAGGGTGATGAAGACCAGTCCTTAGCTGGCCTTGTACCCAGCAAAGCCTTCCAAAACCAGTGAGTTCACCTCAACTCTTTCATCAACTAGCCATTAGCTTTAGTCATGAAATGTAATGATTATAGAATATTACTCCACATAAACCAGTTGCAGGTCATGTGTATTAAGTTAGCATTGTAATTCAATTACATTGGGGTATTAAACTGTAATGAAAATATGTTCATTTATATAGCGCTCTCACACGATTGGTTTCACAATTGGTTATCATCAAGTGCCAGGTCTGTTACAGATATCGGCGGTCATGGCCCTCTATTTCTAGCTATTTGCTGCTATTCTTAAAAAGTTGGTATTACTGATTTCATATTTGGTTGCCCATTTGAAACCACTCCAAATATCTACGAAAGGCAGGTAAATAAATGTTTGTGGTAAAGTGTTTTTACTGCTGGATTGTGTGTTTACAGACGAGAAGCAATGAAGGAACCAATGAAAGATGATGAAGATCAAGAGCCAAAGAAAACATCTCTCCTGTGTAGCTGTGTAGGCAAAACCAACAAGAAAAAGAAGAAAAAGAAGAATATGTACAATAATGACCAAACTGGTGAGTTGGAGAATAATCAATGTCTGTAAAAACTTGTGCTTATTATCACACTGTCTTTCTATCCCTTTCTGCATGGCTTTATTCCAGAGCTCTTTCTTTTATGCCTTCTTAATATTTTTTTAAAACCCACTTCATATTCTCTTGTCTTCTTAAAGCAGTCAGAACTGAGAAATCTTTATAATTTGAATCTAATTCATAGAGCAGTTTACAATCCACAGTCAACACAAATAATTAAGTCTGTCAGATTTTGTTAATATTTTGCAATCAAATCGCAAGCATGTTTTCAGCTAATTTAGAGAAAGGCATTCTCCTTTGGTCTGCTATTATCCCATGCAAAGCTGCAAACTACTGAATTGTACAATTATGATGTACAATGAAGCAGTGAAACTCTTCCTATTTTTGCACTGCTCTTTATGTTTTTATTACATTAAAACATGTTATTCTTTTGTGACCGTAACTTCTGTTTTATGGCACTCTAAATATGTTTGTTTTAATTGTGTTTGTAACCATTCAGAGTAATAACTCATCAAACGATATATTTCCCATGTTCTTTCATATCATTTAGATCATGAGGAGCCATTAACATATGAGGAGGTTGGTCTATACCAACCAGAACCACACAGGAAGAGACCTATTGTACTGATTGGCCCTCCACATGTTGGTAGACAAGAACTCAAACAGAGACTATTGGAATCAGATAGAAGATTCAAGGCAGCTGTACCTCGTAAGTACCAATCCACATCTATTAGGGAGATGTGGATTAGTGAAGGCATTCAAAAACCACCTCACATGCATTGATGTTGGTACTATATTTGTTGTGGGCTGTGCTGTTCTGCCCATGGGGAACGTCATGCACAGGTTAAAACAGACGAGAATTCTTGAAGGTAGTGTTGCATCTATCGCACATGAAGACTAGGGGAGGCAGACTAGTCCAATTGCCCATGTTGATATGGATAGAGAAGGGATTAGGACAAGGGGTCAGAATGAGGAATGGTCTGTGAGAGCAATACAACCAAAGCTCCACTCGGCATAATAAAATGAGAATGCTACATTCATCTCATAATTTAATCGGGTTGTAGATTCTGAGATTTACTCCAAAAAAAATTCTTAATTCGATACTTTGATTGGGATGTAGAGTCTTACTTTATATATCAAAATAAGAAGTAGCGTGAGCCTTATAAATACATGTTGAAATTCACTGTCCCAGATTGCCTACCATTGCCTTGCATCAAAGTTTGGAGGCAGTTTGGAGCCTTTAATGAGCAATGATGACAGGGTTCAAAGGAAGTACTTATATTCCTTCAGGTTCTTTGGGTAGAATTGATTTTGTTCTTTGCTCTTCTCCAGGTCTATGCTAAGTACCTACATATTAACAGCAGCTTTAGATCAATTGGGAAAGCATTCATTCTTCAATGTCATCTTGTGTGCTCTCAAGTAGAGTGAACCAGCAACTGCTACTATTGTGCTGATATGAATGTTTGTGTAGGATTTCTGTGCACAGAGATACACTATTATTAATAGTGTATGGGTCTACAACAGTTTAATAGCATTTCTGATTGCAGAGTTTCATGTACTCTGTGAATGCAGGACTGTATTGGACCACAGTCCTGATTGTCTGGGTCCTGTGGTACAGTATTGGTTAGATAACTATTAATATTATCCCACTATTTTGTCTTTCCACTGCCCACCTACATCTCTCCATTCAGACACTACACGAGTGATGAAAGAGCATGAAATCAACAGTGTTGACTACCACTTCACCAGTAAGACTCGCTTTGAACAGGATGTTGCAGCCAGCAAGTTTGTAGAATATGGAGACTACGAAGGAAACCTGTATGGTACATCATTAGATTCCATTCAAGCTGTCATCGATGAATCCAAGATTTGCCTTCTCAATCTTCATGCTCAGGTAATGTTTGAGAAGGAATTAAAGTAAAAGGGTTATGCGTGGGTTGGCTTATCCTTGAGATTTGTCAGATTTTGAAAGAGATACATTGTACTTCTGTAGCCTTTTTCTCAAATGACATGGTAAACTGCGTAAAAAAAATGCCCCCCCCCCCCTCCAAAAAAAAAAAGAAGAAGAAAAAGGGTCCATTATGTGTATATAAATACCAAGATTAAAAAGATTAAAAAAAGATAGTGGGGCGCCACAAAGTCCATTAAAATAGAGATATGTAAAGTGCATTTTGCTCATGCCATTTTATTTTGCTTCTATTTTCCCCCCGTTATAAGGAGGTTTACCATTGCCTGTGTGGTTAAGGCTTCAGAATTGTGTTTTCCTGTGCACAAGGACACGGTACCAACAGTGGTACCGATGGTGGTGGTGATGGTGGTAGTAGGGCTTATTTTCCTGCTCTCTCTCTCTCAGCCAGAGGGGGATGGGGAAGGGCACGGATTCTCTCCCCCCCCGCCCCAGCCCTTTTCAGGGTTAAGCTGAATAGCTACCTTTAACCTATTGAAGGGGAGATCCACTCTGATATTAAATAATCAGTTTTAATGGAAGCAGAAAATTGAGAGAAACAGGACAGTGAAAGTTTGAGCAAAAACCGATTGAAAATAAGAAAGTTCTGAATTTTTAAAGGTGCGATCAATTAAACACAAATTGGCAACTCTGTAAACTTTAATTTTTTAATATTTTTCCTTAAGAAAATATTCATTCATACATGCACCCTAAATATAATTATTGCAAATATGTTTTTATACACCTCCTTTATGAAACAAATCTATTCCGTCATCAACAAGTAAGAAAATGAAGACACGTCACGGTGTTGCCAATTTGTGTTTCACTGATGACATCTTCAAAAATTCATAACTTTTATATTTTCAATCGGATGTTGCTTAAAATTTCACTCAATTGATTTTCTCTCATTTCTGCTGTTATTAGGACCAAGTTAATATTAGGGCGGGCTTCCCCTTTAATAGCTGGTTACATAATTACAAATTAGGTATTATGGTGGCACATTTAATTCCCTCTAATTAATGTTTATATAATAACAATTTTATTAAAGGCAATATGAGAATAGAAGCCTTAGCTAATGCTTGACATAATGCTTCATTCACTGCATTTAATAATCCCCTCATTTACCAGCTTTCATCTTATACTAACATTATTTGTTTAGTGCTTTCATTGAAGGCTGACTGTACTCCCATACATGATCATTTGTCATCTAACAATGAATTTTGTGGAACCTTAGGAATGAGATATGAACGTTAAAAGATCCAAGTTAAGACATTCATTTTAAAAGTAGAAGAATGTCATATTTCTCTTTGAAAGCATACACCTAATACATTAAACTTTTAGATGACCGTGTCTTTTTATGTGAAGGATTCACCTTTGTTTCATAATGTAAGGCAGCTATGAGATCATGGTTTGAGAAAAGAACTTACATTGCCTCTCATCCTTTATCATCAGATGTACATGTAGAATTAACCTGCCATTATAATATTAACATATTTAATATTGTTTTCCTTCTCTTCTGGTACCAGCCGACAGAAATTAAAGAATGCATGTACAGGCGAGGGCCTGTCTCACGGGTGTGTCTTCTAAGTTTACCAATTTGCATCTTTTCTGTCTTGTCTCTGCCTTTTGTCTGCTCCCCTGTCTGTTAACATTGTGACATGATACCTAAAAGAAAATAATTCTGCACAAAATTGAGTTTTGTTGTACGTGAAATGACATGTTTGGCTATATGTATGCTTCTTGCAACGGCAGAATGAAACATAGAAATTCCAATTTTTTAGAAGGCATACTGGTATTCTATAAGAGAAAATATTTGGGTACAGCTCTGATACTGAGGAATAATTAAAAAGCATTACAAACAAAAAATATCAATTAATAATATCTTAATACAAAATTGCAACAAATATTATAAATCAAATCATTGAAATCAATGTGGAAAAATGAAGTTTTTGAAGTGTTTTACTTTTGTGAAATTCAGAACCAACAAAGTACATACATAATCTTAAATTGCCAAGTTAGAATAGATTTTCATTCACTACAATCTGACAGTGTGCATGCATATTCATAAAGAAGTCCTTTTCTGTCATGTACATGTATTTACTAAATGCATTTCTGCTTGTATATATATGCTGTTATTTGCTTGTTTGCATTTGTTTAAATGTGAATTTCATTTGAATATGAAGGTGAACGTATGTCTTGCATTCTTAGATTGCCTTCCTGCCTGCCTCTTCAACCTACTGCACTTCTTTCTTTGCGGCAGCAAAATTGATGACCCAAATAGATAAAAATCTGGTTTAGGAAACTGAAGCTTTTTGTATTTTAAAAGCTGTGAAGAAAGAAGATGCAAAATATCCGTATCTTATGAAATATATCTTCAGCAACTAGAAACTTTCATCAATAGACACCCCAAACAGCCTTTAAACATTAATTGAAATGTTCTTACTTTCTTCCTGTAATGTTCTCTCTCTGGTGGCAGCAATCATTTCTTTACATATTGTTTCCTTTTACCCCTTTTTGTTCTGGTAATATTTCTCCTTGTGCTTATGAATACCGCCAGTGATAAGATATATTTAGACCTAACGTGCCAAATTCTACTTATATGTGACATCTTAGGAAGTGCCTTTTTTTCCCCTGTGAACTTAGTTGGTGAATATCGTGTAGTGTTGAAATAGCTTGTATTCTTCTCTTTAGAAAATAAAAATAACATATTCTCTTTTGCTAATGAAAATTCATGTAATTACTCTTATAATTCTCAACCATTTCTCAGTGGTATAACCATTGTGGGGTTCATTTGTTTGATTTGGGTTGAGATTTTGAATTTCAGCCCAGCCCCAACGTCCTTTGGCAAGACACTAATCCACACGGTCCACTCTCCTTCCAGGTGTAACGGGTACCTGATAGGCTAGAGTATTACATACATGTAGTAGCAGTAGTAGCAGTAGAAGAATTAGTAGTAGTAGAAGTACAAGAAGTAGGGGGCATGTTACTTTAATGCATTATTATGCTCCAAATGTCCACCTCTTTAATCAATTATTTAGGAGTTATCTGAACTGTAAATGGAGTAATGTGTACATGTATGTACATGTACAAATGTGCATCAGAATTTTCTTCTTATTTTTAAAACATTGCTTTCACTTAAAAAAACAAATAAAAATATTGTACGTAAGTTTTGCCATCTTATTTTTTTTTCTTTTTCATTTCATCAAAATAGAGCATATTTGCTGTGGTTCCAATTATTTTCAATATTCCAAATGCAAGTGTTGGATGCAATTTTCACAATTTGTTTTTTCATTTGTTGTGGTTAACTCATCTGCTGCGTCTGTTCTCTGGTTTCCAGCGTCCATTCACAGTTTCAGAATTCTTCTTCATCGTCAATTCTCATCTGTTTTGTTTCAGTTTGCTTTATATCATAGAGCTACATAGGAGATTTGAAACTTCTGCACAGATTTATGAAAATTCATAAATTATGCTTATTTATACAAATCCACAATAACTTCTTATACGTCATTAATTCACTGATTATGATTTGTTGTATATTTTCATGATAAAGCACAGTTGGTTGCACAAAACTTCTGCTCAGTATTTTGATATTTTGCCTTTACCATTGGTTTGATAATTAATGCATATTTGTTCAAAGTTTTCAAAAACTGTTTCTTCCTCATTTCCAACTGATATAAAAAGAGAAATGAAAATTGTGACAATTGCTTTTGTGGCATGCCGGATGAGTGCTACAGCATTGACGTTCTTTTCTTCTTCTTTTTAATTTTGTTTTAATTAAACAAAATATATCTGAACTTTTAGTAGCATACTTGCATCATGATGAATAAGCCTCACAACTTTCCATTTCCTTTAAATGCCAAGTACAATTAAAGTCCTACCTAGTCCGAATTGAGGGATAGTTTGAAGGATGCCGAGTACAAATAAAGTCCAACCTAGTCCGAATTGAGGGATAGTTTGAAGGATGCCGAGTACAAATAAAGTCCAACCTAGTCCGAATTGAGGGATAGTTTGAAGGATGCCGAGTACAAATAAAGACCAACCTAGTCCGAATTGAGGGATAGTTTGAAGGATGCTAAGTACAAATAAAGTCCAACCTAGTCCGAATTGAGGGATAGTTTGAAGGATGCCAAGTACAAATAAAGTCCAACCTAGTCCGAGTTGAGGGATAGTTTGAAGGATGCCAAGTACAAATAAAGTCTGACCTAGTCCGAATTGAGGGATAGTTTGAAGGATGCCGAGTACAAATAAAGTCCAACCTAGTCCGAATTGAGGGATAGTTTGAAGGATGCCGAGTACAAATAAAGTCCAACCTAGTCCGAATTGAGGGATAGTTTGAAGGATGCCAAGTACAAATAAAGTCCAACCTAGTCCGAATTGAGGGATAGTTTGAAGGATGCCAAGTACAAATAAAGTCCAACCTAGTCCGAATTGAGGGATAGTTTGAAGGATGCCAAGTACAAATAAAGTCTGACCTAGTCTAAGTTGAGGGATAGTTTGAAGAATGACTCTTGGTTGTAATTCATCCAATTCATAAAAGTCTGGTTTCTAAATGAGCTCTCACTTTCTTAGTGGAAAAGCGGACCATGCTCTCTCGTTTTTTAATAATAATTATAAAGTTTGAGTAAGACTTTTGCTAAATAGTTTTAATGAGTCTATGAAATATGTGGAAAATATTAAATATTGACCATTTTGTTTACCGAGTCTAGGTTATTGTGGCTGCTGTCATATTCATTTCAAACCCAGTTTTATAAAGAGGGGTAATACTGTAATATTGATCAGAGGGGTGTTTCACAAAGATCCTAAGCTGAAGTTATCTTTAAGTTGGACTTTAGAATTATGTAAAGCCGTTAGCAGAAGTTATTTTAAAAGGCATAAAATGTTAATTCCAAATTATTCATATTTTCTGTTATCAAGGAGATTTCATATTTTTGATGTGTAATTTATGAAAAGTCTAAAATAGTTTGATTTCTTATTTGAATATATATTTTTTAAAGGCTACAAATGGCTCTCCATAATATTTAAGTCCAACTTAGAGTTAAGTTCGACTTAGGATCTTTGTGAAACACCCCCCTGATGTTGTACTTGAGGATGTGTATATTGATGAGGAATCGTTTCTATACATCCTGTACAGGCTCTGAAGATACTGAAGAAGTCTTCTTTGAAGCCGTACTTTCTCTTCATCTGTCCACCTTCCATTGATAGACTGAGGCAGCAGAGGACTGAAGCAGGTGAACTTCTCAAGGTAAGAAATGACCCCACATCCTCCATTACACTAGATCTTCAACTGACTTTCTCTCAAGGTCTCTTCAGATGCAGGCGCTATCATCAAACTACTTGAGCTGCCATTGGCAATGAAAGCATGCAAGGAATAGAGTAAAGTAACCATGTATAACAACTGGGTAAAAAACAGACAAGGAATAAGTAGGAACAAACATTGTGAACATACCACTACAATACAATAATAATAATACTTTGTTCTTTTATAGCACATTTTATGTCTGTTGACATTGTAATGAGCCTTACAATATACATATATTAACTATAACAAGATCATATAAAAGGAAGATAAACAGAAACATATATAGAAAACAATGAAGTGCTTACAAAGAGAAAAATTATAACATTACTTATCCTTTAATACTGTTGATGTGCTAATTTGAAAAGATGAGTTTTAAGTTTAGAAATGAATGTTTCAATATTGGATAAACAACGTAATTCATTTGGGAGGGAATTCCATGAAGATGGTGGTATGAGGGTGAAAGCCCTATCACCATATGCTTTTGTTCTGCCTCTCTTAGCTACGAGGAGGTTTTGAGATGCAGAACGCAATGACTGTTCCAACACTATATAATGCTTATGATTAAAGATACATTTATTTTCTCCTTCTTGGTAGTACTTCTTAACGTCCCATCAGGAACCAAACAACAAGAGAATGATTTTTGTTCTTCTTTTGCTTGCTCAACATTTATCTTTGTATTTCTTTGATTTCTTTAGGAGCAAGAACTGAGAGAAATCATTGACACTGGAAGAGGAATGGAAGATGCTTTTGGACATTACTTTGATCATGTGATCATTCATCATGACCATGACCGTGCCTATAATGATTTGATCTCTGAGATTGACAGGATACAGATAGAGCCTCAGTGGGTGCCTATCCATTGGTTAAGCTAATGTGTGTGTGTGTGTGTGTGTGTGTGTGATCTTCACCAGACTCATCACTGGACACCAACCATCCAAGAGTGCCTTCCAGTCATTGTGGATCACAACAAAACCAACAAACACTTACCAGCACTCTCAAATCTTCAAATAATCCAAGCAACAATCTTCCCTAGTTGTATTCCAGACTTGAAATGATGTATTTAGGAATCCCAAGATAGAGTCTATAAGAACCAGGTATCTGTAATCTTCTTGAAGACTCTACAATCTTATGGCAGACAATTCTAGCTTGATGTGAATGTTCCCAGACTACCTTTTGATGCTTTGGATGTATCGAGATGATGAACCAACCCTGAAAAGCAAGAAATGTTTATACCAAGTTTAGGTGCCATTCGCATTACTTGATAATTTCCTAATATATTGGACCCTCACTATACTACACTACTTTGGATCAAGAATATTACCTTGTCCTATCAAAACCTTGTTATATCACAGCTATAAAAAACAAACAATACAATTCAATAGAAATGAGAGTTAACTAATAAATTGTTATGATCGGAATTATTATAATAGTGTTCTTTTTAATGAGGTTCATTTTACTGGTATCACCAATATTATTAAATATTAGAGCTCAATGTGCGATGATATTCTCCAAGGAACTGGCTGTTAGCAAGGGCTATAACATGACAGTGGCAATCTCCTCTAGTGTGTTACATTATGTATGTTTGAGGAATCAAGGACCTTTGGATCCAAGCACAGTCACATTATATCATATGTATTTTGGATGAAAAGATATGTCAGAGAAAATCAAATAATTTAGAACACACAATACTGACAATTGCTTGAACTTTAGACTGAGTTATTTGAATTATGAAATTAATTTATAAAGTCATAACACCCTGAGTCTTGTGTTTGACTATATTTTTGGAAGGACAGTTAGGTGATATAGGATTATTGTGAGTGATTAGCCTCTAGGTTTGCCGATGAAACACCAGCATTATTATGAGGAAGGGACATGAATGAAGAAGATAATGATGGCCTGTTCTTGTCTTGTGCTTGTGAGTTGGGGATGAACATGTTTCTACCAGGTACCAAGATGAAAAGCCTATTTGTTCCCTGGATCTGGGGGTGTAGTAGTGTAGTCTCCATGAGTGAACCATACAGACTAAAGCTCATCAATGCATCTGATGAAGCACACATTTGCAGTGTTGTTAATGCATCCACAATTGAAAGTGACTATTTTGTTATTTTTCTCAATCACATTTTGCAAGTATTTGTCCAAGTGCCCTGCCAGTCAAATTAGGACATGGAGCTGTGGGTTTTCTTTGTAACTGATAATTGAACCCTACAGGATTTAAAAGAGTGTGTGTGTGTGTGTGTGTGTGAGAGAGAGAGAGAGAGAGAGAGAGAGAGATCATAGGGCAAACTCTGTGCAAAGAGGTGGTGCACAATTAAAACTTTGAGTCAATTGGCGTTTTGAGGAGCATGCATTTAGTCAATGATATATTATAATGTATACTTGGCTTTGGATTGGCAATTGATAGACTGGACAAGTGAGAATGATACTAGAACACTCCACGGCATGATTCTCATCCTCCTTACGAACCTCAATCACCGGCTGTAAAGAGCTCATCTCCATGACTTAGATTTAGTGAACATTTTAATTGGCCATTTTTAGCTGAATCCTCTTTTTTGCAATTGCATTTAACAATGTGGAAGGGTCTATTTTTCGTGAGCCAAAATTGTACTAAGAGTAGTCCCATTTGCCATTAATGAAGTGCAGGTAATCTTGATACCATAGCCCTTGTTCACTATCTGTCAAGATCAATGTAAGGCCATATAGAGAAAGTAGCCAACTACCCATGAATCTCCTCAAATTAGATTTAGAATTTTGACATTTTTAATTATAAATTTGAACTAAATGAGCCTTTGTACCCTTAGGAATGGCGTATTTTTAATGAACTATGCTTGCCAAAATGTGACTTTTTAGCTGTTTTAATGGTATAAAATAATCTTTTTCATGTTTTTAAGCAATGTTCTCCTTGAATTGGGTTGTATATTTATACACATCAAGCTGTTGGATTCATGTTTTTTCCATAGCGAGTATGCACAAGACAAATAAATCATTCATTGTATATGGATATATGTGATATAGTTTTGTTAATTCAGATAGAGTTTTAATTTTAAAACATGATAACTTAATTTAAGTGATTGAATATGACATTTATATCTGGATGCCCTAATCATCCCATGCTGTACTCAATGACAAGTAGGACACATTCCCAGTATCAATAATGTTCCATCATATGTTCATTAATCTACCATTCCTATTTGTGTGTATTTCCTAAATGTAACAGCTGTAGATTCATAGAGTAGCTATCCTTTCTTCTCATTTACTTTTCTAGCAATATGTTATATGAGCCACCAAAGAAGAGATTGTTTATTGAAAGCCAGAAGGGTATTAATGCATCACTTTTGAGGCTCTCAACAAACAATGTGTACCTATACTTTCCCACAAATATTGTGTGCACAAAGCAAATATTTGCACATTATTTTGATATCAAGTACAAAAAAACGTTAAAAAATGAGAAGAGAAAGGATATGTGATGTAGTCTTCCATGCAGCTCACACGAAAAAACAAGAATGTGCTCTCATGTTATGTCTGTGAAACTAAACAGTTGTTATACAAAGTTGTTAAATGAAACTACCATTTCTCCCTGTGTATGTTCAATTGCTTTTGCTGGCTCATGGCTAACATGTTCCTTGTATGCGCCTTTGTGTATAAACATGTACATCTCTTTATTTGTATAGTCAATTATGTTGTCCCTAAGTGTCCAGTTACTCTATATTCTTGACATCATATCCTTTTGTCTGTACAGAAACAAAGATATTTTGATTCCTATTCATAACTAGAAAAGCCAAGGTCAAAACTAGGTGAGCAGCAGGTGCACAGTAAATTAAACACATACATGATTGTATCTAGTACAGGGGTGTACATGTGTGTGTGTGTGTTTGAGGCTCACTGGAGTTCCTTGGTTCAACATGTTGGGTCTTGGGTCACATTGGTGTAGGTGTTACCATCACAAGGTGTTCTGCAGAGACGGAGCCATCTTGTAATGTCTGTAAGAGCTAGTTGAACCAGATGATGATATAAAGCATACCCTGCATCAAATAAAGGCATTTTATATGAAATCTATCATGAAACAGCTGGTCAGAGCTGCAAGGCTAGTTGTGACCTTGGCTACACAATAACGCTTCATTATTAAAACCAACTATTTAATCTATTTCTTTCTAGGAGATTGCTTTTGTACAGCATATTATATTGTGATTTCTTGATGTAACTTTACCTACATGTAGATTTGCCGTCTGTATTTCCCCAATTCTCCATTGATAGTCTCCATATGTATATATATGATTTTAAAATCCAGAACATAGATAATTTTGTTTGTTTGTTTTCATTTATTCTGTACATGCTATGTTGTGGGTGGGAAAAGAATGAAAGAAAGAAAGATATTTTAAAATTGATTTGGACTGTAAAATATGTGAATACTTTTTATAATATTGAATATTGTTATGGGTATATATATTATACATTTTCTATTTTATTCAGCAGAAACCGAGTATAAAGCATTGTTTCTGTTTTGCGGTACTACTTTATAATGACAGTACAAGATAGTAAACCATGGAGGGGAATCACTGGATTCTTCATCATACTTAGAGGTTGTTAGGCTGGGGAGTCTCTTTACTTTCATGTCCTCGTATTAAAACAGTTTTGTATAAATGTAAGATTAAACTCTCTGTAGAACTCTGCAAGAACATTAATTGGTTCATAAGCAAGAGAAATGTATCGTACTAAGATGTATGAAATCAGATAATATTTCATTTTTTTTTAGTATTTCTTTCTTATTGGGGATGTTTTTCATGACATTGTCAGTTTTAAAATGCCAACAACTCCGAAACTAGAATTGAGTTCAATTCAAGATTCAAACCAATATTTGGTAGATTTTTATCATTTATTCTCTTTTCAGAGCATTATGTATTCAAATCAAACTAGAAATATTCAATTTCATAATTGTATTCATAGAAAGGACTGATGATTCTTGTATTCAAATAGTTCCCAAATGCAAATTTTCACTCCCTTTTATTTTCTCTTTTCCTTGCTGATTTCATTTCCTTTTTTTTTCTTTTTAAATAGTCTTTATCTTTGTTGGAAATGGGAAAATATGACAAATTCAGTGTTTTACATGTATTCTTGATCGATGTGACCTTTGATCATCAATGTTAGAATTCACAATACTTACTTTCATATTTCAAATACCTTCTATTTTACATTGACTTTATGTATTCAAAACATACTTAGACAGCATAAAAGGATATCAATGCCTCCTGATTAGTATTAAAGGTAATACAAAGTTTTGGTATGGGGTCATGAATTTGGTTCAAATGAACATATGGGAAGCATATGCGATCCTACAATATTGTCGGGGTTGTCGGGGTTGAAATCGAGTCTAAAGTTATTGTAAATAATAAACTTGTTATGTTATTTAGCTCCCTCTCAAAGTTAAGATATTAATTAAGCCATAAAACAATGTTTCTTGACTAAAATCGACCTAGTGGCTATTCCCGTTTACATATCACAACTACATATTCTGATATTTCCTTTTTGCAGCTACCAGGCATTGTATGGTCGTAAGCGCTATTTGAAATTCAATTTTTCTTGAAAGCAGAAGTGTTTTAGGGGCTAAATTGTCTACTGCTTATAATACATCCACAGGGTCGTCCAAATATATTGAAATTGTAAAGAATCACTATCCTGCCAATTTTCAAAATTTCCCAAAACTTTGTATTACCTGTATTACCTGTATTCATGCAATCAATATGATTATTTAATGCTGGGGGTAACTGTAGAAACATCAAGTATCAAGTGCTATAAAAATGTCATTATTATATTATTATCATTATTTTGATCGTTATTATATTAGTTCTATTTCTAATTTTCATGGAAGAAGGAAAACAATGAGTATTCATTATGCATCAAAACGATGGCAAACATACACACTGGATAGGCCTAGCTGTGTATAATGTTAAATAAGACCCACATATGTTCAGCTTTTCATCACAACTAGTTGAAACTACAGTGCTGTATGGAGAAAATGCCTGTTAGTCCCTTTCTCTATTCTCATACACACACAAATTGTTGTGGGATAAAGCTATGCCATGAAACATTATTTTCTATTTTTTGACGAGCTTTATTTCTACCCTTATTTGCTCTGACCGATATTATTACAAGGGGTACATATTTTTAGTAAATCTTTTTAAACCGATGCTTGCTCTTCTGTGCAGGAAAAGGATCTCTATATCTTTATGTACTTTTCTTAATTTTACCATCAGCCTTTTGTCAGATATATCCTAATAACTAATATACATATATTTGTGTGTAATATTCTCCTAACCATACCTCTAGTATATACATTCATTTATTTACATTCATACCTATGTGAATTCCACTATTTGTCTGTGTTCATACGTTATCTACATTTTTTTAATAAATTCCTTATACCTGTACATTCAATCAATATGACAACTTTATGCATTTCATAAGTCATTTTAGTCATCCATTTTATTATTCCTACCTAAAAATTACAGAATGTACATTTTCCACCAGCAAATGACTGTTTAAGTTTTTAATGTTTTGTTATGTTTCACTCTGAAAGGTTTAAAAATATCATTTTTTAAAGCCAATTGCATAGCCAACTTTTCACCTACACACTTACTAGTAATCATGCAATTTTCATCACCAAAACATGGGTTTTCTTTTTACAGCCTCTTTGAAAGGCCTTCACAGTTATTCTGTCACTTCTACTCCTAGTTCAACCTAAATAACCCTTTGGCATAGGATCTGCTGTATTCTTTATTCATGTAAATGAATTTTTAGTTGATGAAATAACACTTTTCCTTGGTTAGCTCTAGCTGGTTGGGCAGATGATCATTCTTTGAACGGTCATTTTGACAAGATGATATAGTGAACTTTATTTACCTAAGAAACCTAATTCATGTTCATTGAAACCCCTTGTGACCCCAAACATAACTAAAATAAAATGACTTTGTAAAATGAAATACAGGAGGATAAGTGATTACTTTGCGTATATAATCTATACTCGGTGCCCATCGGCAGTTAATCCAGCAGTATACCATGCAAATTACCCCTGTGTACAGATGTATCTCGAGAAATTGACAGAAGTTTGTAAAAAAAAAATATATATTGTTGGTATGATACTTTATATGGAGCTGCTGGTGTGCACTTTTTCCTATTATCTGATAATAAATCATTTTGACTCATATAAAACAAATTGTGTGTATGTTGTTTATTTGGTATACTTGGTTATAGCAGTCATATATAACAAATTGTGTGTATGTTGTTTATTTGGTATACTTGGCTATTGCAGTCATATGTAACAAATTGTGTGTATGTTGTTTATTTGGTATACGTGGCTATTGCAGTTTTTACCTTTTAGAAATTAAGTACTATGCCCTACAAAGTGATTTGTAATCAACAGGAAGATTGCAAGAAATAACCCCCAATTAATTGCAACAGAAAATATTTCTCAATTGCTTTATAAAGAAGGAACTTGAAATATGCTTCTAAGCAGGGACGTGATAGAGAAGGACTTGAATCAAGCCGTTCTCCTTTGACCCCATGCTCCAAGCCGCCGGAAAGTTATGCGCTAATCTGCAATTGTTGACCAGGTGGTGAGATAAAAGAGCGCATGAAATTTTAGGATTTAGAATTCCTACATCAGAAAATGGTATCACAGCAACTGTTCGCTGTCCCTTCCAATGATTTCTCATCCATTGTTGAATGTGTAAAGAGTAGAACAAGCGAACACAAACTTGTGTAATTTCATTCTTTTTTAAACTTGAAAAATACAAAAAACACGCGAAAACACGCATTAGCAAACTTAATGTTATTGAAGATTGTAAGTCATGGATCAAATAACGGGACATTAAAGCATGCACAAATTAGCGCATCATCCTAAAATATTGAATTTTTGACAGGATGTAATTTTTCTTTTACCAACTCTGGCACACAATTTAAAGGCAGGACGGAGTTCTAAATTTGAAAATTTGTTTGATGCACTATTCCCAATAAAATTCCCATATAAAGTTTTTAATTTACACTGTAATTTTGCCGGTAATTAATATTTTGTAATAAATGTAAAACTGGTGCCTGGCTTCCGAAATTCCCCGCAGTGGAAGCGCGGTTCGGAGCATGGAACTTCAAAGCCAAGTGGAATGTTACACATCCCATTGTTACGCTTTAGAACTCAAGAATGCGTTTGAATAAATTACAAGAGTTTCGCCTCCTGTTCTTTCACCTCCCTGGGCAGGCCAACTTGGTTTCAGTTATGTGCTAGCCTAACATAGCAACATACGCCATGGTCCATCTGACACAATCTATGTGCATACATCAATGGGTCTGAGCAATAACTTACAAGGACATCAGCTGATGAAAACATTTCAAAATAAAGTAATCCACTGTGCAATGTAACGCTGTTTGCAGAAAAAGAATAGGTTTATTAACATAGAAGATGGAAGAAAATGGTTTTCTTACTTTGCAAATATGCTTTATCTTTCATCTACACCCTTTAATTTAATTAAAGGTAAAGATCAGTTATGGTCATGCGATTGTATTGTGAAAGAAACGTGGAATCGATCAGAAAAGGTTGATCATCTAGCATCTAGCATCTGCAAGGTTCTGGAATCATCAAAATGATAAGAAATTTGGCCCATTCTTCGTTAAGTTACAAGCACTATACACAGAAAGATGTATATGGAACTACCCTATATCTCTCACAGACCATGAGAGAAACAAATTTACCAAATATATGAATTAGTAGGCGGTTTCCCGGCAAATTTTTTATCATGTATTAGTCAAAACATATTCTTTCACACAGGCGCGTACGCAGGATTTTTTCAAGGGGGGGGGGGGGGGGGGGGGGGGGTTTAACATTTATAAATCGGGCCGAAAATTTCGCAACGACTCAGCCGACCGCTGAATAAGCGGGGAGGGGGGGGGGGGGGGGGGGTAAGAGGTCACTTTTTTTTTTCTTTTTTTTTGGTCTCGAAATTTGAAAATTTGACATTTTGCTCTTTTGGGGGGGGGGGGGGGTTAGGTCAGCTTTTTTAGGTCAGCATGCGAATCTTTTTTTTTTTTTTTTTGTGTACGCGCCTGCTTTCACATGATTGGTAATGAGAGCTTCCATTTCATTTTTTGAAATTTGGGGCGTTTCCAATACTGGTCTTTACCTTTAATGTTGATCTCTCTCTCTCTCTATATATATATATTACTATATATTAAAAAGAAATAAGCCTCCTTAAGAATTCCTTTAAAAAGAAATAGGAATTTAATTATTTACAATTGTCTAGATATATCATGGCTTTGTCAGCAGTCTTTTAATGAATATATTAATTTGTAGAGTTTTCTTAAATTAATGAAAATAATTTGTGTAGGGACACTTAAAGAGCTACTTGTAGTCATGAATGCGAGGACAGAGAGAGAGAGAGAGATAGAGAGAGAGAGAGAGAGAGAGAGAGAGAGAGAGAGAGAGAGAGAGAGAGAGAGACTAGAAGGGGGGCGGAGAGATAATGGGAGGAGACAGGGGAGGGGGATGATACCCCAGAAAACTTTCCTGAGGACGTGTCCTCCCCGTTCCCCCTCCTGGATATTTATAAGGAAAAATATAATCCAATCAGTTGGTATCACATTTTACTTACAATTTTGATCACATCTCTCGATATGAAGATTCCTAGACCCTTGACGGACGCAAAAGATTTTTCACCAGCTCCGAAGAATTTGTCGTCACTGTGTAACTCATGTTCGTCTCTCCGTTTGTGGTATCAGCTTCTCGAAATCTTACCGATTTTATTTTGGACCTGTCAGGGGTTTTAATTATTTAATTACGGTCTAGATGAGCATATTTTGATACCTCATTTGTGACACTGACAGGTCACTATTCTTTCTTTCTTCTTTCTATTTCTCTTCAACATACTTTTTCATAAAAGTGAGGGGCTGGGGCTCGAGCCCCGCCGATCCGCGGGCCTTGACATGTAGGCTTCTAAAAAAAAAGCATTATTTTTCGCCTGATAAAAGTATAATTTACTAAAAAGTGAGAAAACGTTTGATTTTTCTTTAGTAAGCCGGTGCGAGGGACGAGGGAGCATAGTGAACGAA